CTTCTTCTTCTTCTTCTTCTTCTTCTTTTGTTTTTAATGGCGGTTGGCAAACAACTTTTAGGTGCATTACCGCCACCCACTAATCTGGAGTGTGGACTAAGGAAAGTAATTCTCTAATACGAAAACCAAACAAACAAACACAAAATAAAACAAAATAAAATAAACCAAAACAAAATAAAATAAATATAATTCTCAAATTCCATTCACTAGTCTTGTTGACTCCAAAAACTCCAAAAGAGGCTTCCAACACTCTTCACCAAAGCTTTTCTTTAATATATCAATTATATTCTCCTCTCCCATCTCTCTTAGACCACTTTTTAATACTTCTCTCTCTGCCTCGTACCTCTGACATGACACTAAAATATGGTCCACAGTTTCCTCTTCATCACAAAATTCACACATTCCATTATTATGTTTTCCAATAACACAGAGGGAACTGTTAAGACCAGTATGTCCATTCCTTAATCTTGTCATTACCCTCTCCTCTTTTCTATTTCGTCCACTAGGACCTGCACTCCCAACCAGTGGTTTATTTTTAAACAGATATCGTCCTTTGCTCCCTTTATTCCATTCAGTCTGCCATATCTTTTTGATTTGTCCCTTAATCACCACTTTAGCTTCTGACTTACTTATATTTACATTAACAATATTTTTCCCACTCTTCAAAGCCTTCTCATTGCCATCGACTCCAACATGGGCAGGGACCCACACAAATTTAACCGCTATCCGCATTTGATGGATTTTGAATAGTGCTTTCATACAGTAAATCCTCTCTGCATCTGGAGTGGCAAAATTTCAAACTCGTCAGTACTGCACATGAATCTGATGCAATCACCACTCTCTCTGGCCTGACGTCCTCTACCCACTGCAAGGCAATAACTATGGCCATCATCTCACATGCCGCTTTAAGCTGCTGCGAGTAGAGAAATGTATAAATCTCAAACGATGGATTTTTTTTAATTGGTCAATGTCGGTGGTTGTAGAAACTGGCATATTTGCTCTTTGAGGTTAGATACTGATATTAATATTACGAGAGATTTTTCTCTGTTGTACATGTGCTGAACATATCTCCAGACACATACTGCCTGTGCTCGATCAGGTAAAAGAGAAATACTTACATGTCCGAGGTTACATTATAACCTCGGACATGTAAGATGCTTCACCAGTAGCTGTTTGCTTTTGTGCGTGTTTCTATGTTTCACAAGAAGGTGGAGTGACGGCCACATGCTCCGCCAGGAGAATTGTATTTTAAATATGAGCTTTAAAATGTAGCATTCTGGTGTACTTTGAGAAGAAAATTAAGTAATAAGACATTTACTTTAAGCAAAAAACTAATTTATTATTCAGTTATTAATCAGTATTTCAGCTCTATTATTATTAACCTTTATTATCATTTTCAAAAGTTTTAGTCATATAAAAACAAGATAGCAAGAGTAGCGAGAACCATCGCCTGTACAAAATAAAGTGATTAGTCTTCATTGAACCCTGCTACTGTATGGCTTCATATTAACTTCCACTGTTACTGTAAAGCTGTTAGAATTGTGGCCTATCTTCTATTTGCAATTAATATGCATTCAATCCAGTTCAATTATTTAAATTAAAATGATAATCTACTCTGGCTAAAGTAGAATCAGAATCAGAACCGTTTATTGATATGGCATGTTGAACATACAAGGAATTTGACGTGATGGGAGGTGCATAACATTTAACAACAATCAACAACAATCAACAGTGCAAAGTAGAAACATTAAAATTTACAGAAAAATATAAAATAAAGTAAAATATAAAATAAAGTGCACAAACGAACAGATAACAGCACTATAAACAAGTGAGATGTAAGTGTAGTGTAAAAGTGTTGAGTGTAATAGAAGGGATGTGCAGGGGAGTGACCGGTAGGAAATTGTCCTGGGGATGACAGAGTCAGTGGGGGTCTGTTAATGAGCCCGACTGCGGACGGGAAGAAACTGTTCATGTGTCATGAGGTATTGGTCCTGATGGACCTCAGCCTCCTACCAGATGGAAGTGTCCAGGGTGAGAGGGGTCGGCTACAATCCTTCTTGCCCGCTTCAGGGTCCTAAAAGCAAACAGGTCATGGAGGGATGGCAGATTGCAGCCAATCACCTTCTCAGCAGAGCGAATGATGCGCTGCAGCCTGCCCTTGTCCTTGGCAGTGGCTACGGCGTACCAGACCGTGATGGAGGAGCAGAGGATGGACTCAATGATGGCTCTGTAGAAATGCACCATCATTGTCTTTGGCAGGTTGAATGTCTTCAGCTGCCTCAGGAAGTACATCCTCTGCTGAGCCTTCATGGTGATGGAGCTGATGTTAGGGTCCCACTTGAGGTCCTGGGTTATGGTGGAGCCCAGGAAGCGGAAGGACTCCACAGCGTCAACGGGGGAGTCCACAACCATCTCCACTGTCTTTAGAGCTCTAAGTGGTTCAGACCACACCAGGTCACCAGATGGTCAATCTTCCACCTGTAGGCTGACCTCATCCCCACCAGAGATGAGTCCAATGAGGGGGGGTGTTATCCGCAAACTTCAGGAGCTTGACGGACTGGTAACTGGAGGTGCAGCTGTTGGTGTACAGGGAGAAGAGCAGAGGGGAAAGAACGCATCCTTAGGGGGAACCGGTGCTGATAGCCCGAGAGGCTGAGACATGTTTCCCTAGCTTCACATGCTGCTTCCTGTCAGACAGGAAGTCTCTGATCCACTTGCAGGTGGAGACGGGCACGTGCAGCTGGGAGAGCTTGTCATGCAGCAGAGACAAGATGATGGTGTTGAAGGGAGAGCTGAAGTCCACAAACAGGATCCTGGTGCAGGTTCCTGAGGAGTCCAGATGCTGGAGGATGAAGTGAAGGGCCATGTTGACTGCATCATCTACAGATCTGTTGGCTCTGTAGGCAAACTGCAGGGGGTCCAGGAGTGAGTCGGTGAGGGTTTTGAGGTGGGACAGAACAAGGCCCTCAAAAGACTTCATGACCACAGAGGTCAGGGCGACGGGCCTGTAGTCATTGAGTCCTGTGATCCTAGGTTTTTTGGGGACGGGGATGATGGTGGAGGCCTTGAAGCAGGCTGGTACGTGGCATGTCTCCAGGGAGGTGTTGAAGATGTCTGTGAACACCGGAGACAGCTGATCAGCCCAATGCTTCAGGGTGGAGACTGAGTCTGAGTCTGGGCCGGCTGCTTTGTGGGGGTTCTGTTTTTTAAAAAGCCTGTTGACGTCACTCTCCCGAATAGAGAGTCGTTACTGGGGAGGGGGGCGGGGGGGACACTGTGATGGGTGGTACAGAGGCATGGGCCCCTGCTGGGCTGGGGGAGAGGGACCCGGTGGTCTGGGGCTGGTTGATGGAGCTGTGGGGGATGGAGTCAGGGCTGTCCCATTGTCTGTCAAAGCAACAGTAGAACTCGTTCAGCTCGTCTGCCAGGCGGAGGTCATTCATGGAGTGGGGGGCTCTTGGCTTGTAGTTTATCAAGAGTAAAATAATAGCTGTGATCTATACACACCTCTGCATTAGCAACCCGCTGAAATGAAGGTACAGGCACCTTAACCCTCTCATTACTTCAGGGCCCTTGGGAACAACTGCACGTGGGACTGTTGGGACTGTTTGTTCACTGTAATAACCACAGCCAGTGTACTGTGTCTGGCAGTGTGATGAGAGAGCATGTGAGCCCTTGTTGCTGTAGTTTATCTCCTTGGAGCAGAGGCTGCATTTAGCATACCCTGCCTTATCAATGTATTTAAAATACTGTGACAGCGGGAAGCTGTACTGCTCTCCCTTCACGTCTGTTTTGACCTCCACCTTTATCCAGGCCCAGCTCCACTCACATCTCAGCCCTGCATCAAGCTGCGCTACACAAACAGCCTCCTCTTCCTGAAGCTCTTTGACCTCATCATCTCATCAGTATCTGGGCCTCATGTTTCGTGGTCATAAAAGTTAACACCACGATATCGCCTCATTCTACTTTGTTTAAAAAAAACAACCTGCAACCAGATCTCTCTGCAAAGTTTGACTTTGATAAAGTGAAGCAGAACAAAATTAGAGCAGTTTTAGTACAGCGAGGTCAGGCGAGGTTTCCAAAATGGGCATTTGGGCATCATGTGTGCCATTTGAATTTTCTCATGGACCAAACTATATATATTTCACTTGTATATTACTAATGGTGTTAAATACATCCAAATACATATTTTCCCCATTCAAAAAACAACCACACAAACCAACTGAATGTTTCATCCAAATGGAAGAGATTTAATTTGAGCAAACTGTAAACATTTGTAACAATACAAACTGTAAAAACAAAAAGGTAAAACCAACAAAGTATTTACATCATTTAGGTCTTGTGGCTGAAGGCCTTTGTCTGCAGCGCATAGTGAACACAGCTGGAAGGATCATTGGCGCCTCACTCCCCTCCCTGCAGGACATATATAACACCGGCTCACCCGCAAAGTGACCATGATTGTGCGCACCCCTCACACAGTCTCTTCAGCCTCCTGCCCTCTGGGAGAAGATACCGGAGCCTCCGTGCTCGCACCACCAGACTTTCAAACAGCTTCGTCCACCAGGCTGTTAGGAAGCTGAACTCTCTCCCTCCTCTCTTTTAAGACTCCCTATGTCTGACTGCTGCTAAATACAGAATGATAGTGTTTCTAAATGTTTTTTTTAATCTATTTGCACTTCATTATCTGTATTCACTTTATATGTTGGACTGGAGAGAAACGTTTGTTCAACTCCTCTGTATGTTCGGTACATAGTGAGAAATTGACAATAAAGCTGACTTTGACTTTTGTCTGGGTGGGGTCCATCCATCAGGAAGTTATTGTCCATCGTGCCACAGCTGGAAGCAGTTCTTTTTGGAGGTGAGGCAGAGAGGAACCTTACACTTCCTGCAACAAGTGGATGTCTTCACCCTCAGCATTCCAGTATCCTGGCACCTCTTGCAATACTTCCTGACCCTTGTTTCCTCGCTGTCGAAAAACATGGGCATGCAAGTGGTGGAGGGGGAGGAGGTGGTGGTGGTGGAGGGGGGTGCTGAGCCTTCAGCAAACTCCAGCATCTCCTTGGCCAACTTCTCCCTGAAGGCCTTGTGGGTGAAGGGGTCCATCTGGGTAGGGTCCTGCCTCAACTTGAACAGCTCCTTGTGCAAAAGATAACTGTTCACAACAGCGATGTCCACAAAGTGGTAAAAAAAAGTCATGTACCACGTCATTGTCTTGTGGCGGACGCTGTAAAATTCGATCAGTGCATCGCACAAATCCATACCACCCATGTTGTGATTGTAGTCCACGAGGCAGTCCGGAACTGGTATTGACTTGTTCTGCCACACCCCAGCCTCCTTCACCTTTCTCCTCACAGTCTGTCCACTGTAGGCCTGATGCACTGTGGAACACATCATTACCTCTCTCATGTCCATCCACTTCACGAAGAGGAGTTTGCCACTCCGGATCCAACGCATGTCCCCCCTCTCAGCCTTTTTGGGCAGGTCGTTGGTCTGGGTCTTAGGGAAGCCAGTTCGATTTTTCCTGATGGTCCCACAACAGCCAATGTTCTTTTTGGACAGATCGGTGAAGAGCGCAGGGCTTGTGTAGAAATCGTCTGTGTACAACAAGTAGCCGCCGCCAAGGAGAGGAAAAGGCAAAAGGTCCATCACTGCTGAGTAACTCACACTGTGGCCTGTGGCGGACTCACTTTTGCCTGTGTGGACAAAGAAATTCCACGTATAGCCAATCGACGTATCCGACAGCACAAACAGTTTGTAACCCCACTTTGTGAGCTTGTCCTTCATGCTGGCTGCTTGGCTTAAGACCATCCGCTCATCAATGGACAGATTCTGATGCGGCTGGAAATTGGCTTTGCAGGCGTTCGCAATCTCTGTGTAGAGCGGCTTGATCTTGAACAGATGGTCGTACTCGGCAGTGTTCCTTTTTTTGTCGTTTTCCTCGTCCTCTTTTGGGTCACTAAGGTGAAGTGACCACAAAATGGACTCAAAGCGGTCCCGTGTCATGTGGTCACCGGGGAACTGGAAGTTGTACGGCCATTTCTTCCTCCAGTAATCTGACCTGTGGTGGACCGTCACAAAGCCAGTGAAAAGGATGACGGCGAGGAACGTGTAGAAGTCCTTCATCGTGAGCACTTCCCAGGTGAATTTTTTCCCAGCTTGCCTTCTTTTGGCAGCATTGGCATTTGTGTTGTCAATGATTTTTTGGACAACATTTGCAGGGAAAAAAAGCTGGAAGAGGCCGATAGGAGACCATGCTGTGGTGGTGTCACATGTGGGGCCTGGGATCCTGGCCGGCATGAACTTGGGAGGGTCAGGTTTGATGCACTCCTCCTCTCTGTCATGCCACCTGTCGTCGTCGTCGTCGTCGTCATCCTCCTCCTCCTCTGTAGAAGCCAACCTACTTTTTACACGCTTGGTAGCTGGAGCAGAAGTTCTGAGAGAGGGGCGTCCTCTCTTCCACCGAGTGGTCGGGGGAGGTGCTGCTGGGTCCGACTGAGGTGACTGAGGTGCTAACGACTGGGTGTGTAGAGTCGTGGGGGGAGCAGATGCTTCTGGGCCTGGCTGAGGGTGTGATGGTTCTGGAGCCGATTGTGGACGTGTTGGCCGTGGGGCACTTGAAGGTTCTGGGACTCTGGCAAGAGAGTCCTCGTCATCCTCATCACTGTAAACCCAAATGTGGAAGAAAAATAAATATATGCATTCAGTGGTCTGGTTCTGAAATTGTAATATATGTAAACATAAATGCAATAAACTTGGCACACACACACACAGCTAGATAGATATAGAATTCGACACCAATAAATCGATAAATATAACATTTACAAGACAATCCATACCTTTCCGATGATGGAAGACGGTAATCCGATTCACTACTGGTGTCGTGTGTTTTTTCGGGATGCACCAGATCCTCGTCATCCGACGATGAATCACTCAGACAAAGGAGGTTCCCAGGGTCGTCCTCCAGTATTTTCAGGATTTCCACCGGAGTGAACTTTTTCTTTGGTCCTTGTTCCGACTTCTTTCACAAAATAAATTCCAACAAAGTAGGGAAAAACAACCGTAAAAGTTAGACACACAACGTTAAAACAAGTGGATGCTGTGCGTTATAGGTCCCAGTGCTCAATGCCGATTTTCGTCTCGCAGGATGCTTATAAATATGCACGACTATATCTCTGCAACGGATTGGTCGATCTGAGTGAATGACACCTCATTTGAATCAAATTTGTAGCTGGATTTGATGTATATATCCGGAATCTGTGGAGTGTCTGTTTATTTTAAGATATCGTGTGTGTATTGTACCACAGCGGTAGAGCCAGATGTGTGGTGAGTGAGTTTACTAGGCAGCGCTATATGGATTTTGATATTTAGTAATTAATTTAGTTGGTGTTTGGAGCATGTAAAGACGGCTTACATATTATTGTAGCCCAGGTTCTACCGTTTAATCTGATGTGCAACATCATTACATTCGTTTGTGATAAGTTTGTGGTATCACCCCTCATTTACGAAGATCAATCTGGGGGAATATTCAGTTATAGAGTCGCTTCACATGAGATAAAACAGGATGACTGTTAGAAAGGAATAGTTTATACAACACCTTTGATGAATCCTGCCCATGGCTGAAAATGGTGGGTACCGCATCCACCCTCAGAAACTTTTTGCCGTTGAGGTCCCTGAAGCAATCGGCCCTGAAGTGCTCCGAGCAGAGGCATGTGTGGGCGGTCGGGATGAAGTTCTTCATCCCCAGGCTGTTTACCCATTCACAGGTGAGCTGAGGTTTTTTGAGGGGGAACCTTACACACAGAAGAGAGGAGACAGTTTCTAACCAGGATGCATGATTACAGTCACACTTTTTAACACAACAGTGAACAGCCTGATGGGAAACCAAAGAAGATGAAAACTAACACATATTAAACGCTGTGTATTTTCTTGCACCAAGACACAGCCGT